TCCTCACGGAAAAATTGACTAACTGCAGCCTCGGCTACACTACAGGTTGATGCCTGGGGAACTAGCTCCAAGGTCGGACCTAGAGGGTGGTAGTTGACAGAAGTGAATCAACATGGCACTCAGTGACCAGTGGTGTCCCCCAACACTGTTCTCGGACCTGTACTCTTTAACATCTTTATAAACAATCTGGATTCTGGTGTCAGAATTGGACTGGCTAAGTTCACTGACGACACCAGATTTTGGGGAATGGCATCCATGATTGAGGATAGGCTGGTTATCCAGGCTGAACATGATAGGTTTGCAAGGTGGGTGGATGAATACCTGATGGCACTGAATATGGAGAAATGTAAGGTGCTCCACCTCGGGTTGGGGGGGAACCTGCATCACACTTATAGGCTCAGCAGTGCTACACTGGCTTGCACCACAGCCAAAAGAGACTTGGGGGTCATGATTGACCACCAAATGAACATGAGTCTCCAATGTGATACTACAGCCAGTAAAGAGAACAAAACTCTGGCTTGCATCCATCAATGCTTCTTGAGCGAGTCCCAGGATGTCATCCTCCCATTGTACTTGGCCTTGGTGAGGCTGCAGCTGGAGTACTGCACCCAATTCTGGGCTCTGCAATTTAAAAAGGCCGTGGAGAAGCTCGAGAGAGTCCAGAGGAGAGCCACATGCATGATCAGAGGGCAAGAGAACAGCCTCTATGAGGAGAGGCTGAGAGCCATGGCACTCTTCAGCCTGGATAAGCGAAGGTTCAGGGGTGACTTGATGGCAGCCTATAAGTACTTAAGGGGTGTGCATCAGGATCTGGAGGAACACCTGTTCACAAGAGCACCCCAAGGGATGACAACGTTCAATGGTCACAAACTCCTCCAGGACCATAAGGACAAATTTCTTTACTGTTCAAGCCCCCAAGGCCTGGAATAGACTTCCTTCAGAGGTGGTGTAAGCACCTACTCTGGACTCTTTTAAGAAACATTTGGATGCCTGTCTTGCTGGGATACTTTGACCCTGACTTCCTGCCCCTTGGGCAAGGGGCTGGACCCTATGATCTTGCGAAGCCCCTTCCAGCCCTAATGTCTATGAAATCTATGAAATCAGCTGACATATCAACAAGTATCGGTGCTGCCAGAGCTGCCACCCCAGCTCCAGTGTCTGCACCCTGGAGAACAGCATCCGCCACTTCTTGGTGACGCTTGGCAGCAGCTCAGGGCACCATAAGATTGGCTCCACCCCCACTGTTGACCAACGCTGGGAAGGCAGGAACACGGGAAGGGGGTTAGAGTCAGGGCTGGGGCCAGGCCAATCATGTCTGGGGGGACTGGGGGCTCCCACTACCTTGGCCTTGGCCCAGCTATGCTGCTGCAGGCTTTGAGGTGCCAGTGGGCAGCTCCATAACCCACGGCCAGGCCCAGCACTAGATGCAGGTGTTTCAAGTTGCTAGACACAGCCTGGGGCCTTGAGCATGCCATCTGTTAACTTGGAGCCAAGCCACCTCTGGCTGCAGTTCAGCGGCCTCAGCTCCACACGTGCTGCTGACAGAACTTGTGGCTCCTGGGTGCACCCTGCACCTTCCTCCACTCCCTGGCCAGGAATGTGCTCATTGTTCACAATGCCCCTGGCCACTTCCCCAGCATGGCCCTGGTGCTGCTGTGCAGGGGGCTGTCCACACATTCACCTAATGAGCTGCATCAAGGCATCTTAAGGCATGCACATGTAAACACACGCCTAAATCATTTGAATGAGCCTTAGGCTAAGGCACATTAAGTTTAGGCCTATGTAAATTCACATGTAGACACACCCACTGTGACTAAAATATGCTTCCCTTTCTCCCCGATGGGTCTCAGCCAGTTGTGTGTGGAACATTTAATGGTGCTTATGTCATCACATGGTCCTGAATTTTTTGTCTCCACTGCTAAATATTTTCCTAACAGTAATTGGCCACGCCAGCAATTTTGGAGTCTGTTGAGAGAAGGGGAAGTGTCCGTGAAACTACCACTCTCTTACAATGTTGTTCATATGTCCAAAAGCATGGGCACAGAGCTTTCCTGTTCTAGATGAAAGACTGTAACAAAAAGATACTGGAGCTGAAGCAAAAAAGGAAAGGGAGCCTGACCTTAAAGCCTGGTCTGTTGTAGAAAAACAGCCTTCTTTTATAGACAAAATGTAGGCAGGAATAGAGTCCTCAAGAGAGATTCTGTGCTTTCTGATTGCTAAGTCACAGGATTGTTTGTGGATCACCAATTCTTCTATTATATGGTGTCCACCTCTGAAATTAATGGGACCATATTCCTTCCCGGTGTCAGTCTTAGGGCCTTGCAGCTCCATATAGCCCTGCACTATATGCAGAGAGCCAAGTACAACCACTTGCAACACCATTGCTGAGCCAGGTTACAATGCTGTACCTGAGTCCTGGTGACAGCACCTACAGTTGAGTGGCATCCTCTGTACTTGTTGGGGAAGGAGTGTTCTTCAGTTCTGACTCTTGTTTTCCAAACCTGCCAGAGAGTTTCTATTCCCAGGACTCAGCCTGGAAGGGACTGTATTACTATTAATAATTTATATTTGAATTACCACAGTGCTTTGGAGGCTTGGTTGTAGTCCAAGATTTCATTCCACTCCATTGTAGAAATGCAAAACAAAGAGAGTTCCTGTCTTAAATAGTTTAGGTGGGGAGTCTGAACTAACAAGTGCATGGAGGTGGAGAGATAAGGTTAGAACAGGGGACAGAGTTGGATAGGCTTAATACGTACAACTGTATACCTGTTTGCTCATTGTGATATAGAGAACACACACCAGGGCAGTGAGCTGCCAAATATTGATTGGCTTGGGTCTTTATCATTTATCAGGCCATTATACTGAGGTCTCCCTCCAGGAGGTTTTCTAGAACTGAATGAGTGACATTTCCTTTGTCCACCTGTATATCTTCATAGTTTCATAGTTTCTAGGGTCGGAAGGGAC